ATTTGTATAAATGTGAATTCCAAATAGTGAATTCATTTGGCGAAACCATACAAGAGTTTGGATTTCAGAGACTTTTTGGTCAGTATATGCAAAATCGGTATATGCATATACAGTACGATGCAAATACAGTAAGTAGCAAATACGATAGACTGCAAATACAGTAAGCTACATATACAGTAAGCAGCAAATACGGTAAAATACAAATACGATAAGCTACATATATGGTAAAGGGCATATACGGTAAGACGCATATACAGTAAGTTGCATATACGGTATGCGTCAATCCGGTAAATGACATATACGGTATAAAATTATAAATTCGGTATGTCTTCATGGATTTTGGTTTGGAAATTATACAAATCTTGATTAATGATGATAGCCTCAATTAATTTTATGAATGAGATGATTTATGCAAAATCATAGTTACATAAGAGCATGACAGAATATGGTTTTGTCCTAATTATTTTAAAGTGAAAATTGTCTGCCCAATTATTGGGATATGAAAATATTTTATAGAGCACAAATAGTGTCTATAGTTGACGGTGGTGCCAAATATCCTTGAAAATAATGATTATAAAATGACATTCATTTGTAAAGGATAAAAACTATGCAAAAATTGTGAAGAATATTATGAAATATTCTAGAATTAATTCCAAGATGTATGTCCTTTTGTAAGGTTGTGACTTTGAAAGTACACATTGTCAATCTATGGTTGATTTATTCTTTCAAATGTGAATATGGTGAATAAGGTGAAATGTACCTTATTATTTGATTTGAATAATATTATTTGTGAAATGTCACAAATGTGAAAGTTGCACATGGTTGAAGTTGCTTAGTCTTCTTCATTGTTGAATTTGACTTCAATAGTGGAATCAATTAAGTTGGTTTATGACGACCTTAAAGATGACCTTGATTTAATTTGGATGATCAAATTAATATGGTTGATTAAAGTACAATTTTGAATGGAAAATGGTTTTTCATTCATGTGAAACAACGACCACTATTTTGAAAGTATTTAGACTTTCACCAAGCATCCGATACGGATATTATCTAAGTGATAAATGGATTGAACTATGAAAGAGTTGAAAAACTCTAAGTTCAAGAATAATCCAAAAATGTGGAGGTTATCATAAATACTTAAGAACTTATGTGGAAAGTTCAAGTCGTGTGGGTACAACGCTACTACTTCAATATATAACCCTACTTTAGGAATTGTGGGGGTAACTTAGTTTAAAGTTACACTTTTTTGTACATTTCAAGAAAATGGAAGAGACACCATATGAGTTATGAAAATGTCATCCTCTTTCCTACTAGCACTTAAAAGTATGGGAGTGTTTGGCAAAGGTTGAGATTTTTAAGCCTAAACAAATAAAGATTGATCCCAAAATAATTGATTGCATATTTATTGGATACGTCAATAATAGTAATGCATATCGTTTCCTCGTACACAAATTGGATGTACACAACGGTACCATAATTAAGTCAAGAAATGTGATATTCTTTGAGAACGTGTTTCTTTGCAAAGATAAGGAAAATGTGAGTTTGAATAATAGAACATATGAAACTACAAATGGATCTTCAAATAAGGAGAAACCAAGTTGTAGTAAGAGGGCTAGAACATCCACTTCGTTTGGTTCAAATTTTCTAACATATATGATAGAAAATGATCCAAAGACTTCTGAAGAAGTAATGTTCATTTTGAAAACACCGCATTGGAAGGAAGCTATCAATAGTGAAATAGATTTCAGAATGCAAATTCATACATGGGAATTGGTAGATATACTTCCCGGAAATAAGCCTTAGGGTGTAAATTGATTAAAATCTGATTGATCCATTGATAAATATAAGGTTAGATTGGTTGTCAAAGGATATAGGCAAGAAAATGGATTTGACTTCTATACCTATTCACCTTTGACCAGAATCACTTCGATAAGGTTACTAATTGCAACTACGGTTATACATAACCTTGAGATTCACCAAATGGATGTGAAAACGGGAGATATACATGGAGTAACCTAAAGGTGTCTCCAAGTGAAAACCACAAAATTTGTAAACTTGTTGAGTCCTTATATGGACTAAAACAAGCTCCTGGCACCAAAAGTTTGACAAAACGATGCTATCAAATGAGTTCAAAATAAATGAATGTGACAAGTGTGTATGCGTAAAAAATATACCAAATGCCTATGTGTTTGTATGTGGTCAATATGTTGATGGGCAATAGTCACGAAGTGGTGCTAAATGTCAAGAAAATGCTTACGAAGCATTACGACATGAAAGACTTAGGTGTGGTAGATGTAATACTAGAGATAAAAATTTCTAGAACATTGGAAGGAATAGTACTTTCCCAATCTCATTTGTTGAGAAAATATTTAAAAAGTTTGAAGTATTGACACAAGTCTACACTTGGTCAAAATAAGGGTGAAACGTGTCACAACTGAGATATTCACAAGTAATTAGCATTCTAATGTATATTACGAAATGCACTCGACCGAATAATGCTTTTGCTGTGAATAAATTTAGTATATTCACGAGTAATCTAGGCCATGATTATTGGGTGGCATTGACAGGGGTCCTTAGGCATTTGAAATATACCATGACCTATGGATTATATTTCACAAGATATCATATGGTATTGGAAGGATATTGTGATGTGATAGTGTACATTAAGTCTATGGATGAAAAAGGGTAAAAGCCCTAAAGTGGATGAAAGCCGATCATGACGGTTATGTGGATATACAAAAACAATTGAAATATTAGAAAATATTCATAAAGTTCGAATGTATTGTAATGCTTTAATGATGATATTGAATACACATGTATGAAATCCACTAGTAAATATGATTGACTAGTGTAACGATTTGTTAGAAATTCTCCAACATTGTTGTTTGGAATTGATAAAGCTAATGAGAAGCATGTAGCATGTAGCTTCATGAGAGGATTTCTTAGTTGGTGACAATGTGTATCTATCAAATGAATTGATTATTGGCTGGCTAAATCTGAAAAGATACTAAATCACATATAACGGTAAGTCTAGACATGTATGTCGTAGACATAATACCATAAGCAGTTGATCTCATTGGTGTAAATTTGTGGATCCATTTATATATGTCTACAAAGAGATCAAGTATACTGCATATCGAAAGGAATGAGATTAAGCCTACTGAGTAAGAGTACTTATGATGGTAATCCTACCATGTTGACTGAAGATTCCAAGATCTTGGTTTAAAGGGACAACTAAGTTATGAGGATTCTATGAAACACTTAGAAAACTAATTTCTTAACTAATTCTTATGATACCAAAGTGCTTTCTGCAGAGTGGTTGGAAGTTAAGATAAACTTTTAATGATTCCTATATCTTGATTAAGCCAAGTGGAGTAGGGCAGAAAACTCTTAATAGGAAATCACCTATGTAAGTGTAAAGTGAGTCCGCTTCAATGAGAATTATTCAAGGCTTGAATTCTCTAAATACTTACAAAACCAAGATGGGTTCAGGGCCAAAATGAACCAAGTCATGAGAACCATGAACGATTAATGGGAGACATTGTGTGAGTACTGTTGTCTTGATTCATACTAATGGCTGATGGTTCAAGAACATCGCGTTCACCAATTAGCTAATAAATCCGATGGTATTTCACTAAGGAAGTTTCAAAGCCAGAAACTACCTTACCTGATGCAGTGTTTTTTCCCCCCCCCCCCCCCCCCCCCCCCCCCCCCCCCCCTCTCTCTACTAGTGTCTGCATAGACATTTAAATTAATTTTCATTCATATGATGGATTGTTGGAATTTTTATCTAAAATTGGTTGTTTATTTAAGTGAAATTCTTAATTTGGTGAATGAGAAATTAAGCTAAATATAAAGCCGCTTAATATTTGAAATTATTGGAAAATTGTATAGAATATTTTGGAATATTCTAGAAATATATGGATGAAAATATGTGTCTTTTCATATGGAGGATCATGACTCTTGGTATGGATATGATTAATTTCCAATAATTATAAATTTCAAGAGATGTGACTCTTGGTATGGTTGTGTCTTTTGACATATCTTTCCAATTACTATTTATAGACCCCATATGTTTGAATTTTATAATTCAAGAAATTCAAGAAAAGTCATAGATACAATATCATTCTATTCCAATTTACACTTTGATTTTGCACAAAACATTTGCATCAAAGTCATGGTCATGGTAGAGAGGGAATTCCGTTTCTAGTTCGCTGGTCGAAATCATTTAGAGTACTCATATGACTTGACGTGGTCGTTGTATCTTGGAAGATGAATGCCGGAGAACCGTTAGCACCGATGCAGGACAAATTCATCTTAAGGACAAAGTATCCAACACTTGCCTCGGCCAAAAATCTCATCTTCTTTCTTCATTTTCTGATTCCTTTTATTATGATTTAATTTTAAAAAATGATGAACGTTATTTATATGTTTATCCTGCAATGTTTGATCCAAAGAATTACTTGCTTTCGATCATGAGTTGAAAGGGAAGAATCCATATTCAGGTATTCGGATTCGATAAATTCTTATTTTGTCTTCTCAAATCCTATCTCGGTAAGTCGAAATTATATTTCGATTTCACGCAAATTAACGGTATGTTTTTATGAATATATTATGCACAATTATCGATGTAATTCTCCAACAAATGTTCCATTTTATTTTATTCATTTCATTAATCTGTGGCATTGATGGGGCGTTTGAATATGATACGATAGAAAATGTAATATGCATATAAGACAAAACATAAATATGGAATACAATACACAAATACTGGCTGATATCACACAAAGATATCAAAAAACATAAATATAGATTGAAAAGTTATAAAGATAACTATATGACTCCAACAGAAGTAAGAAAATAACAAAGCAACAAATCTCCGTTTAAGCCAACATGAGGTCTGTCTCTATTCTAATTATGGCCTGCCACATAAGATATCGAGAAAATACTGTCAAAGGTTTTACTTGGACGGTGGTGGAGATAGGATTGGAATGGTAGGAATGGAAGGGATATTTGGAACAGATGGGAATGAAGGCATTGGGGGCAATGTGACTTTGGGCATGCCGGGAATGGTAGGAATAGTTGGTTGTGTTGGGATGGTTGGAATAGAAGGCATTGGTGGCACGGCTGGTTTAGGGAGACTTGGGATGGTGGGAATTGATGGCATTGGTGGCAAATTTGGCTTTGGTAATGTTGGAATAGATGGCATTCCCGGCAGAGGAGGAGGCAATGATTGCAACAGTGTACGAGCAGCCTCACATTTTTGATAGCTGGCTACGACTATAGCTGCTAGGATGAAAATGCAAGTGTAAGCACTTCTAGCCATAACAGTTTGGAGATTAAAATGAAGGCTTTTTTCCCTAATAAGCTGTGATGGGGGAAGGTTTGGATATTATGATGGAAACATAAAAACTGCATTTGGTGTATTTATAGATGGAGTTCGAGCCTTGGGTTGAAAATTATGTTTGATATTGGTGGAGATAGGTTCAGTTTGGTTATGACTCTGGTTGGTTGTTTGGAAATTCTGAAAATGGCAGCTGAAATTGCTATAGTTAGTCAAATCCTTTTTTCCTATTAATAAAAGATAATGTTTGATCAATGGAGACTTTTAATTGAACCTTCTGGCAAACAAGTTGGCAAGTTTATAGATAGGTAGTCCTTTATGTTGTTAAACCACTTTATAATCAATTACTAAATTCTAATGGATGGAACAGTAATGCATAATATGTTTTTATAAATTTTATTAGTAAATTATTTAGGTTTGTTTAGATAAAATGAAATAATCCTTTTAATAGATTATTTAATTGGTTAGTACCACTTAATACTAAATTGTTCTGGGTACAAAATTATATCACGGATTTTTTTTTCATACTATCTTATCTTTTATTACAATTTATTAAATTATGTATCTGATTTTTTAGTATATGTTTGTAATATTGAAGTTATTTAACGAAATTTTATCATGTTAATAGTTTAGAACATAAATAGAAGTAGGGTTGTAAAATTATTTATGATATTCAAGTTAGTTCTATTGGCACGTATTGGCATCGCATAGGCTTTGCAAAAACGTCATGCCTAGGACCTATGCGATAATTTAGCTAGTAACAGAAGCGTTGACCGCTTTAAGGCAGACGTAGGCTCGTCTTGGCAAGCTTTGGCACGCATCATCATCATTATTATTATTATTAAATACATAGAGTTTTCAACTTTTATGTCAATTGGATTAAAAAAGGTCAAAAATTGATAACTGTAAGTTTTTCAACTATTAAGCCAATACATTGAAAGGCCCAAAAAGTTGCTTACCAACTTATTGGTCCACTAATTTATAGAGAGTGTTTTCAAGGATTTTATTTAAACCTTCGATATGGAATAAGAATCTTTTTGGTTTGGCTGTGATATGTTCTACCTTTGGTTTGGATGTAATGTGTTGCAAGTTTTATTTAGCTGCAGTGTATGTACCTTTAGTTTGACTGTAATGTATTGTATTATTGTATAAATAGTGATTTATATTTTATTAAGTTAATTAATCATTTTTCTATTTTTTACTAATTAATAAAAAAAACTTTCCAAATATTTCAATTATTACTATTATAATATATCTTGTTCATTGTTAAAAAAATATTTATTTTGCTAAACTCTTAAAATTGCATTTGGTACTATAATTCGTATGTAGTATTAGATGATTTTTAATTGATTAAATTTTTTTAAATTGATTAAAAATTTAAAATAATATTAAAATAAGAAAACACTTTTTTATGCCTAAGTCTCGTCGAGAATGGAATCGATTGAAACTTGACCTCTACGCATTTTCATACATTACACTATTAGAACAGTGTTCATAATAAACAACTTTGTTTTATCTTTTGTTAATTACTGTTACTATAATCATAGTCAAATATCCATTTTTCAAATTTTATTTGTAAGTTTGACTTATTTCTTGGGGGCAAACATGATCAAAATCACCTTTCCATAACCTCATACCACCTTCTTTGTGCTTCAGCTTACATTAATTTATTGAACCGTGCTAAATGTCAGACAACACACATGGTGGGCCCCGGCGTAATTTTTTTATTTTTTATTTATTTATTTTTTAACATATGGGGCCGCCCCTACCAGGGGTCGGTAAGACCCCCCTAAGGAAAATGCCCTGTATTTTCCTAGTTTAGAACTGGAACTTAGTTATACGGATATGATGCTAATGTATTTCATTCTATTGAGTTGCAATAACAGTCCCTTCTACCCTAAATAAATTGCAAAAAAATTAACCATATATCATAGCATTTTATTCTTTCTTTTGCTTCTTTGTCTCAAGTGTTAAAGAATGGAGGCGTCAAAGAAAGTAGACAATTTATTCCTTCACTTTTATTCTTCATTTCCTAAACTTCTGACAAGGTTATCCTCTTTTATATTTCCTCTAATTGATCCGTTTAGCGGTATTTTCCCCATCTTCCTTTCCGTTCATGGTGTAAAGTTCGGAATTAGAAATAAAGAACGTCTTATTCTCTCAACGTTCCATTTTGTTATTCCTTCCATTAATCTGTAGCATTGATGGGGCTTATAAATGATGTGTGAAGATGTAAAAACTACAGAAATGGAAAACATAATGATTGAATAAACATTACAATAATCAGAGCAAGTAATACAATACATAAACACTGGCTCATGTAAAACAGTAACAACATATAAATTAACTTAAAATCTATAGAATACTATATGACACTAACAAATGTATTAAAATCGCAAAGAAAGCAACAAATCTCCACCTCAGCCACCATGAGGTCTGTCTCAGTATCTGCCATCATGGCCTGTGGCTGTCACAGGAGTTTTTGAGAAAATACTGCCAATGGTTTATTTGGAAGGTGGTGGAGACAGGACTGGAATGGTAGGAATGGAAGGGATCTTGGGGATGGAGGGAAACGAAGGCATTGGGGGCAATGAGACCTTGGGCATGCCTGGAATGGCTGGAATAGTTGGCTGTGTTGGGATGGTTGGAATGGAAGGCATCGGTGGCAAAGATGGCTTTGGTAATGATGGAATTGTCGGCATTCCTGGCAGAGGAGGTGGCAAGGACTGCAGCAGATTTCGAGCAGCCTGGCATTTTTGATTGCTAGAGAGGACTATAACAGCAAGAAAGAAAATGCAAGAGTAAATGCTTCTGCCCATGATTGCTTGAATATTGAAACAAAGGAATATTTTCCCAGATCAGTCGGGACAGGAAAATTTTGAATTTGATGGTGGAAAAGAAATGGAATTTGGGTATTTATTTATAGTGGGAGTTCATTGCCAAGGTACAAACTATATGCAAGATGTTGGTGGAAATTAGTTCAGTTTGGTTGACTCTGGTTGGCTGTATGAAAATTCAAAACATGGCTGCTGGATTTTTGTTGTAAGTTAAACCTTTTAGGAATTAGGCAACAAGTGGCAGGTTTAGAAATTAGTCCTTTTTCTAGTGTTTATGCTGTTTAACCACCACTAGACTTAAATGCTCTTATAATGCTTATTTAAGTATAGAATCAAGAAATAAACTAAAAACTCCTATGTGGAAACAACTGGAGTCTTTTGAAGATCTACCAAGAAATAAATGCTCGATCACTTGTAGTTTCTTTGACCTTAAAATCTTAAAACCCAATTCACACATGTTTGGAATCCTATTAAAAGCAATCATATATTAAAAGGCATTACCAGAGTACAGGGAAATTTTATAGATCTTTCTTTTCCACGCATGCAATAAATTTTATTCTTAATGTCAGCCAATAACATAAAACTACTGCAGCTTCAAAGTATGATATCTTATAGATGACACCTCTCTATGTATAATCACAAAATTATTGTACGGTGCAGAAGCTTTAACAATACAAAATCAGCGCTCTAGAAGTGTGGAAATCGTAAATGGCATGTGGAGAGATGAGTTGATGCTATTGGGTGTAACGATTTCTATACAAAGAGATAGGGCCGGTGCAATTTCAAATATAGGACCCTTATATTTCAAGTCTTTTTACATAAAGTTTTAGCTCCCTTGTTTGATGGAGATAAAAATCAAATTTTTAGTAGATTTTGATAAAACTATATGAAATGTGGATTTAAAGTTGTGGGACCGATAAAATATGCGGTTAAATTAATTGTTGATTTTGACTTAGATTGAAATCTAAATTTTAATCGATATCAAACAAGGGCTTAATATAATTATAGAAAATCTAACACAGACAACTAAGCCTCAAAATTTGAAGAGGAAATTAACAAAATGTCAAATTTCAACCTGCAATACAATTTATAAGTTTGGCAAACAAAATTACAATGCAATAGCATTTTCTCACTGCAACTATTTCAAACAAAACTGAATTTATATTTGAGTAATTTATGTACAAAATTGGAGAGTGTTGACTGCAAAAGATAGCGTAACAAAATAATGAAAATTATGATCAAATACAAATGAGCTTCTAATTTTATATTAATTTATAAGAAATTAACTTTTTTAAGAAGTATCTGTATGAATATAGACAAAGAATTATTAAATTCAATGTACTTTTAGCAAACATTTAAAAATATTATTATAATGAGATTAAAACAAAACAATATAATAACAACCTATGTACTTTGTAGCATGGATTTTGAAGATAAGAGAGAAAGAAAGAAACTTGTAAGGCTGTAACAATGGCAGTGAGATCAAAACAATTTGCATAGAATCTTCAAAATTTTAATTCAAATGGAGATAATTTATATCTTGTTGGGTTGAAAAAATAATGGCGGGTGATTGTTGGACGTGGAATTTGAAGATACAAAGAGACTTTTCGTTTGGTTAAGAACGAAAATAAATGTTTGGAAGATAAAGTGTCAACTTATTATAAAGAGGGAAAGTAATTTTTGTGATAAATAAATGTAAGTGATAAGCTTCTTAACACACACACACGCGTATACATACATACATACATACATACATATATACATACATATATATATATATATATATTTATGTATATTAAATTTTGTATTTTCAATTTTTATTAGTTTCTTATATCTACATACGATAATTCTATTTTACAGAATTTCATAAATATAATTTTCATTTTTCTTCAACCAATCAATCAACTTTAAATAATTTAGAGCCCTTACCAAAATCGGACCTTAGCCAATCGCCTATACTCAAGGCCACCATTGCAAAGAGATTACATAGTGACATATTTGACACCTCTATGAGTTATAAATACAGTGCAGTGATATTTTAGAAACGGAAATGGAATTTTGAAAATCATTAGCATGCAATCTCAACTTATGCATAAAAATATGCAAAGTAATATATATACAGCAATAAATATCATTCAGAAACATAAATATTATAAAATGTCAAGTTAGAAAAAAATACACAAAATTGCAGTAAATAGAAGTATACAGAAACATAAAGCACAGTTAAAATTTTGTTTTTAAGATTGTTGTTTATGATGCTAAACGGAGTTGTATTAATACGATGTACTAAAAGTTTTTTGTGATGTAGTAATGTCTTATTCAACACAGATCTATTCCAAAAAATAGGAAATGTAATGTAAACGTATTCTGAAAGGCTTATTTATGGGCATATTCACGTTCATTTGAACTAGGGTTAGGGACTTGCGCTAGTGACTTTGAATTAAGTGTTGATCTCAAAGGATTGTAAAGAATGAGATTTAATGACGATGTGAAGTAATAAAGATCACAACAAGAAACAAGATTAAAAGTAAAGAAATAAACAAAGAGAATTTATCGTAGAAGAATGGTGTATTATAAACTGACAATATGGAGAGAAATTACAGATATAGCAATAATACTTAAACAAAACTGATAGGGGAGCCTTGTATTTATAGGCCACATTTCAAACCTAGAAGAGTCCTAAAAGGTAAGAAAATATATTACAATTAGGAGATCCAATTTCAATAGGATTTTGTTTCCTTGTTGTTAAATGCAGTTAGACTCTTATTCAACACCAACAACAAGCGATTCAAGACTCCTATTTGAGTCAAGTCTGCGACATGTCGAACCTGATCAATTGTTCTAACTGTCCCATCCCATCGCCTAAATCTAACTTGACCGATCCCAGTAATATGGCAAGACTGGTTTCCCATTACAACTCCACTTTGCTGAACAGCTTCATATGTCTGAAAGAAATTTCGATTGGAACACATATGATGCAAACATATCGAATCAAGAATCCACTCCTCGTCAGGCCTATATTCCACGTCAGATACCATGGTCAACATCACATCTCCGCCATCAGAAAAATCTTCAACTACATTCGTTTCATCTGAAGTCAAAGGTTGCACTGTACGATTTGCAGCTAAATCACTTTTAGCCTGTAACTTATCACAATCCTTCTAAATATTTTCCTTACGTCTACAGTAGAAGCAAAACAAATTGCTATTATTCTTCGATTTGCCTCTCCGTCAACTACCATGAGATACAAGAACTTCTTCATCCCTCGATGTAGCTCCATCCAAATGCCTCAACTTTGCCTTTGAGTGCAAAACATCATAAACGTTGTCTATAGTCAAAGTATCCCGACTATACAAAAACGATGTCCCGAAACGCTGCATAAAAGCCAAGCAGCGAATACAACAGGATCAAGGCCAGATCCTCTTCATCGTACTTAACCTCCAACGTCTCCAGATCTGTAACTATTTCCTTGAACACGACAATATGGTCCTCTAGTGACGCTCCTTCCGCCATACAATGAGAATATAGCTTCTACTTTAGAGCCAATTTACTTAGACTTTAGTCATGCATAACTGCTTCAATTTCAACCACAAGGCGGCCGCTATTTTTTCCTTCAATATATCCTGTAGAATATTGTTGGATAATTGAAGATGGATCTGCGATAAAGCCTTCTGATCCCTCTGTTGTTTCTCTTCCATTGTCCAATCAGCTGGCATCTTTTCAAAATCTAGCAGCGCATCGTCCAAATCCAACTGCGCTAGAATAGCCCTCGTCTTTACTTGCCATAAAGAAAACCTTGTATTGCGATCTAGCAGCGGAATGTCATATCTCATGGTAGTCATCTCTGAAAAAACCTCAACCAACTACAGAAAAAGAACCAGACTCTGATACCACTTGTTGATCCCTAACGGTTTTAAAGAATGAGATTTAATGATGATGTCAAGTAATAAAGATCATAACAAGAACAAGATTAAAAGTAAAGAAATAAACAAAGAGAATTTATCACAGAGGAACGATGTATTGTAAACTGACAATATGGATAGAAATTACAGACACGACAATAATGCTTAAACAAAACTGACAGAGTAGCCTTATATTTATAGGCCACATTTCAAACCCTAGAAGTATCCTAAAAGGTAAGAAAATATATTACAATTAGAAGATCTAATTTCAACGAAATTTTGTTTCAATGTTATTGAATGCAGTTAGACTCCTTTCCAACACCAACAACATGCGATTTAAGACTCCTATTTGAGTCACAACTCTAACATTATGAGTCTAGATTGATAAGACCAAAAGAAAATAGATCTGAACACAAAGAACATATTACTAAATTCATAACATAAAACACACTGCTTTTATCTTTTATTGAATGGCAATATCGCATGGGTTTGACCCAATAACAAGTTCAATGATGATTGGATTTGGTTGGTTATTGTTTGGTTTTGAACCCATACACGAGTCAAGATATGGATTAAATCTGATAAAAATGTAATTTTTTATTTACACGATACGAGTTGCACCTAGTGGTAGTTGGAATACATGATAGGTCTGCATACCATTATTCAAGATCTTTCCGTTCCATAAAACTTTAGCAATCCTTTGCGCCAGAACCCATTTGAAGAAGTTTATTATGTAAACCAAACATCATCTACTTTCAAATGTAGAACAAGTTTCCTTCAGCTTCATTCCTTCCATTATAGTGTTGAATAATGGAAGTGTTAAAGAAGTTAGACAATTTACTTGGAAGGTGGTGGGAACAAAAAGGATCTTGGGAATAGAAGGGAATGAAAGCATTGGGGACAATGCGACCTTGGGCATGCCAAGAATGGTTGGAATAATTGGTTATGTTGGGATGGTCGGAATGGAAGGAATTGGTGACACTACTGGTTTTGGGAGACTCGGGATTATGGGAACTGATGG